AGATCTTAGGCTCAAGTACAGCACAATGAGACATGGGAATGAGATGGCAGGGACTAGGTTAATCTAATGGGATCCTGCAAGGCTTTAAGAACTCAGAACAAACCAGATCAAGAAGGCTGATCAACACCCAAGAAAGCCTACACTCCTGAGTACACAACATTTTAAAATGCATGCCTTGATTCAATGATGGCTTAGTAGATAGCTTTATATTATCACCAGACTGATTGTTTGTGCACATATTAGGGAAGAGTAATATTAAAGAAAAGACATCTCATGATTTTCTCTAAGATGAGAACAGTACACTTCTTTGAAATGATTTAAAGTAAAAATGAAATAACACATCTGAGGTCAAATTATCAGTATATGATCATCTGCAATACACAGGAATGAAGGAAATTGTTTTCCATTCAGGAAAAAAAACATCTCCCGAGACATATGACCTTAAATTGTTTGCCAGTCATTGCGTGCACATGTTTGTACTTGTAGGCATGCCTGCACACATCTGTAGCTGTGCGTCCAGAATTAATCCTCCTGAGCATTGTCTGCACAGCATGGTACAAAATGTCCCACAGCTCTCTCCTAGTCTCAAAAGTTCAAAAAACAAAACAAAACTAAATAAGTGGCCATTTTTTGACCCCACTTCCCTTTCTAGTTATTCCATTTCGTTTCTTCCCTTTCCTTGAAATTATTATCCACATTCTCTCATTATATCCCCAGTTGTTCTGAAACCCATTCTAGGTTTTCACTCCCTCTCCCCATCTTATCCAAATCACCAAGACCTTCTGGTTGCCAAGGCAACAGTCACTATTCAGAATGCATCTTTTTTGTTATAGCAGCAGCACCCACCATGTTAACTAGTCCATTCTCAAAACACTTTCCTACTTGTTTAGTAGAGCATCTCTTACAAGCCCGTAACGCCATTAACCCCTGTGACTTCGTGTGGGCCACTGACACAACAGGGGCAACCTGAAACAAGGTGAGCAACAAAAGACTGCCTGCAGTGAATGAAAACATGTATAAAAAGCCTTGACTTCATTCATACTGTCATTCTAAAAAGATCTCACTGGTCACCTTTTAGAGACTGCTAAGTCACCATGTCATAATAGGTTAACTTATGAGAGGAAAGAAATCCAGAATTGATCCTGCACTCATCTCATGGTAATCAAAGTTGATAAGGAGATGTTCATTACAAAAGGATCACAGGTAATGAATGCAGGAAGTAACAGGAATGGATAATTAATCCTTAATGAAATAACAGATATAGGCAATGATCAGTGGCTGCTAAGACAATTAGGCAAAAGGTTGATGGAGAACTTTATATTGGATGGATGAGGCTGACAGAAGCCAAAACCACTGATCCGTTCTGACAGTGAAGGTGGAAGATGTAAGTGCCATCAGGAATACACACACCAATCTGTAATGAAGCCTCACCCGCAAAAAAAACCTTGACTCTGACTCTAAGTAAGTTCTAGATTTAAGGACCAGTTTGCATGTAAGAGGGTAAAGGATAATGTTAAATGACCCCTGAGGATGCATTACACTGGGTTCAAATGGTGGAAAACTATAGGACAAAGGAGCCAGTGTCTTCCACAATGAGTCACGAGGTAGTTAGGAGGGTGCCACTGATTAAAGGAAATTTAAAAGACACATCAACCTAATGCAGTGTGTGGACTTTTGAGGCCATGGGAGAACACAACACAGAGGGTCTCAGATGATATTAAGGAATTATTATTACTTGTTGAATATGGTGATGACATTGTGGTGTGATGTCTGTGAGAGATACGTAAGAATTTACAGGTGACAGGACAAGAACAGCAGGACACTGACAGTAATTGAAGCTGAGTGGTGGACTAATGGGAATTCATTTTGCTTTCTCTCCTACTGTGACATACGTGGAATTTTTCATAATAAGTTTTTTTTTCTTTCTCTTTTTTTTTAAAGTAGGAGCTAGGGACAAGAACTAGGATCCCAGGGAACATCCCTATCTCAGGGCTGCACATCCACCTGCAGACGCCCTGTTGGTGCTGACATGCTCCTTGCCTAACAGAAAGCCCCTTTGAGAGTAAACTACTTGGGGAAGGTCAAGTGTTTATTCCACTTTCTAGTAAACAATGGTGCTCATATACTTAAAATTTAAGAAAGATTCATGCGTCATATTAATCCACTCTCTTGTCACAAGAAACAGTCTCACAAACTGGCCCTTAGTAAAGGCCAGAGGGTCCTCACTAAGTCCTTTACTCCATCTCATCTGCTCTGGGAAAGCCCTTACATAAACAAATACCTACTATATGCCATGTACAGTACTAAACAAGACTGGGTTCCTACCCATAGGAAGGTTTTAAATTAATGAACTGAATCTAAACTATCCAGCCTCTTGAAATCCTTCCTGAATAGGACAAGGAGTAGCAAATGATGACAATATGTTCATGCATACTGTGCCAGTATTTTATATGCATGACCACATTCAATCCCCACAACCGGCCTACAAAGGACGTCGTAGTAGTAGCACCTTTTCACATGAAGATGTAGGTGTATACCTTTAAATAAGGCATACAGCAGTCAAGTGACTTGCTCATGGTCATCTACCTTGCAGGTAGTATCGCTGAGAGTTGAACCTGGGGAGTCTGGCTGAAGGGCTCTCTCTAATCTACACCATTCCGCCACCACACTGAAAATTACCAGCCATCCTTGCTGGAGTTCATTCATTTGAGTATCAAAGAGATATGGATTGGCTTGGCTTGGATAAGGAATAGGACTTCCTTGGCCAGCAGACCAGAAAATGCCACTTAGCACTTAGCATTGGAGCGACGGAGCTTTAAGGAATTACACTGCAGGCACACAAAGATCATGCCCTGGCCCATCTCAGCGGTTCACAGATGGTGACGGTGAGTCGGCAGCAGGGTGGGAGGCAGAGCTGGACTCTCCAGGAGAGACGGCCCTTCCTCTCTGACAACGGCAGGTACACAGCACGGCGCTGGCTAGACAGAGGGAGAAGGCAGCACCTCCTTATGCTCCCATCCTGTGCTGCACTGAGGACATTCGCCCTGCTTCTCCACTCCTGGCACAGACGCCTTTGCTGGGCTTTTTCTCTGTACCTTTGGGTCTCTCCCCGCCGGCTGCCTTTACTGGGTGGAAGGAGCCCTTGATAGCTCCCTAGCCCTGAATCACAGCATGCTTTATCCTAGGCCTCTTCAGTGTCCGGCTCTACAGCCCAGCCCCCAAACAGAACGCTCTGAAACCAATCAGTAAGTCAGGATTCCTGTGGCAGCTCAGAGCTTCTCACAGTCCTCTCACCTGTGAAATGCAGAAGATTATTTCCTGGAGTGGCCTTTGATATGCCTGTCAGCTCAACAGCCCGTCTCTTCCTCTTGCCAAATCCAAATCTGAGATCAAATAGTCATATGCTAAATAATGACGTTTTAGTCAACGACGGGACTATAATATATACAACAGCAGTCTCATAAGGTTACATCACCGGGAGATGTCACACCCATCTCAGTTTGTGAAGTACGTTCTATGAATGCTCACACAACAGAATCTCCTTGCTACGGCAGGTAGAAACACCAAAACACCACCCAGGATTTGGAAGCAGATTTATTTATATCAACAGGCACTGATCAGGATCATTCCCAGAATATCAGCTCCTGATCTCTGGTGATTAGGGCTTAAATGGGATAAGCAAGCGGGAAGTAGAGAGGCAGAATGGCTTGTCAGTTGGGGACTGGTTTATACAGTGTGCATCATAGTGACCAGCCGTTTCGAAGAGACAGGAGCAACCAGAACTGGAACTATTACCTGGGCAACTAACAAACTGAAGCATACTGGCTGGGTGAGGGTGAGGGGGCATTTTCTGTTACAACCTAACACACATTTCTCAGAACTCATCCCAGTCTTTAAGAAGCTGACAATAGCTGACCAAAACCGTATTTGTTTAAAACCTGACAAAACTCAAAATAGGGCAGAGGCTACATGGTGACACCAGCCTTATTCAGGTCCCATTAATTGATTATGTGTTTAAGTACGGAAGCTCCTGTAGCAACAGAGCTGAGAAAGGCAGCCTGTCTCCTCTGCTCAGCACACACACAATGAGCTCCAGTTCTGGTCTGCCCTTCCTTCTCGCTCCCTCCATCCTCTAGTGTTCTCCAAGCTGACGGCCTTGGGCCCAAGACTGTCATGCAGAGAATGGCCTGACCTCAGCCCACAGTCTTCTTCATGACTTTTAAAAATCTAAACAAAGAGAAGAATTGGTCCCTACCAGTTTCACCAGAGAAGCCTGGGGATGGGGCTCCACCATTCTTTCTATCCACCCTGGGGACTGGCTCTCAGTTCCAGAGTTAGTGAGGGGCTAAAATGTTAATGATTTTCTTTCAGTCATTCAGCAAATATGCAAGGCATACCTTCTGGTGCCCAGGATGACCCTTGAAGAGGAAGGAAATAAAAAGCACAGAAGCAGGATCTGGAAATGGCTCTGCACCCCCCCATCAATCCACACAGTTCCACGGCCAGCCAGCCCAGCACTGATTCTACCTGAAGCACACGTCACCGACACCTTCCTCCCAGGCAAGCAGCCACCTCCTACAGTGGTATGGCAGGCGGCCAAGACACAGCAAGGGTTTTACTCGAGGAGAAACAATTAGGATACATACTTAGGCTATGCATTACCAAGAAAGAAAATATGCTTGATCTTTAACTCCCTACGGCAGTTTGCCTAGTAATTTTCTATTTCCAAACCCAACTTTGATGGTTCAAATAGACAGAAGTAAACTAAGGCATTAGAAATTGAGAATTTTGAAAGTAAAATTATTAAGAAAGTATTTAAATTTTAAGTTCATTGAACACAAGATATATGGACTACTATCAAATAATTTAAAGACAGCCTATGATTCACACCAAAAGCTACAATTTCTTATGATTAAATTAATCTGTATCTATCTATCTATCTGTACACATAGATAGGTACAGAGAGAAAGAGAGACCACCAAGAAAGTATACATCAGGAAAAGCTTGCATAAATATTTTAATACTAAATTTATTGAGACATGATGAGATTAATACATGTTGCCTTTGGCCTGTACAATTACAAGGAGTACTCAAAGTGGTGGCTATTACCTTCCAGACATTATGAGTACAGCAAACTGCTGAAGTGTGTATACATTTTTTTGGCAGACTATATATATATCGCTTTTTTCCCTAATGGCAAAAGAAAATCTGTATTGAACAATTCAAGGCACCTCATGAGTCAAACTGTTACTAACGGAAAAAATCCATATAGTAAAAAAATATTTTGATCAATGAAGTCACTGCAAAAAGTTTATCTTTTGACTCTGCTAGCTAGCTTGTATTTTATCCTTTAGCTAGTCACTTGGATCACAACTTTAAAAAAATGGAACAACTCAGGTAGAGGTAAATCCACCTTGCCACAAATGATATAAAATCTCTCTTCCTCTCTTGGGTGGATCTCACATCTTTTGTGCCTTTGCCCACACCCTACCACCACTTCTCAAAGAAAATGTGCTCTTTGGGAACACAGCTGTTTTCTAGTTGCTTGGAGAAGAAGTCCGTCATTGGAGGTGGGCCACAAATATAGAATAAAGTCTCATTTGAAATATGATCTTTTATCTCCTCCTCCGTTATTCTTCCTTCTGCCAAAAAATAGAATAAACACCAAATTAAGCCAGACATGTTTGTATTCTGAAATGAGAAAGGAGTAGGCACAACTCACCAACAGTGTTTATCTGTAGTAAATCAAGCCCAGTGTGTCTTTGTAAACTTACGGCAAGCAAAGTGGGAAGCTAACCGTAATGCACTCTGGACAGACAACCAGCTAGCTTACTGGTCTTTGATGGAGATGGAAAATTACTTTCAGCAAAACAAATACATAAAATGCTTCATCAATAAAGTTTTATAAAACCCTTCAAAATGGGGTGCTGGGGATTTAGCTCAGCGGCAAAGCGCCTGCCTGGCAAGCGCAAGGTCGTGAGTTCGGTTCCCAGTACCGGAGAAAAAACAAAAAACAAAATGGAAAACCCTGAGTAACTTAAATGACTGTTACTAGCAAATGCAATCAATTCAGCCAAGGTTGGAATATAAATTTTTTGTATGCACAACATAGCAGTGACACAAATGCCTCCTTAAAAATGTGAAAAAAAAATTTTAATATGGACAGTAGAAAGTCTTTATATAATAAGCAAATCCAACTGAATATTCCTTGTTTCTCCATGATGAATCATCTCCCAGTTCCCCTGGTACTAAAATCCCAGCCAGCAACTCCCAACAATAAAGCATATATGCTCAACCAACTGGCATGTGCACCAAATAACTGCATGGAGATAATCAAAATATCTTTAGAGGACTCACCCGTGATGTATGGCCTAAGTTCTGCACTGATTTGTGTAGTCTGTTTTGTAACATGCAAACTGCATGCAATCTTCTCAGGAAATTCACTTACTAAATCGAGGATATTTTTCTGGAATGTCAAACATATTTGGTCACACTACAATTTTAAAAAATCAAAACAGATGTGCATTAACCACTGACGCCGAACCTCAACTCCCATTCTGCACACGTCTGCTGCTCTTACTCTCTACTCAGGAAGATATTGTTTGCAGCCTAGCAGGCCAGAGCATTCAGAGTACAGAGGGCTATTTGGCTTTAATTGAAATCTGAATATGCTAACAAGCATATTACTAACTCTCCGGGAGTTTTTTCTTTTTCCTTTTTCTCAAGCATTGGCAATTAAGCAGCAGTTTCACTGACCACAGTTGTGTCTTTTAACTGTTTCTGTTCTTTTGTTCATTTCTGCAGCTGCTAAGCAGTCTTGAGTGAAAGCCTTCTCTGCTGAATGTACTTAGTTTCAACAGATGCAACTGATGGGGGTTTCATTTACCCAGCTGGATCCAAACTATCTGGATCTCACCTACTTCAGTGACAGATGAGCCCACTTGTGGGTCTCTTGACTCTTTCCAGAATCTCAGGGTCATAGTGACTTTTCTGTTCACCTAACCTCCAGATTCCATCCCACCAAAACCCACCTTATCTTGTCACTTAACTTGGAGCCTCCTCAACACTAGCAGTTTTATTTGTCCTGGGTAAGATGTGTTGTTTAATTTCATTTGAACATGACAAATCATTGCCAAGCCTTTTGTCTGAACCTTTGCAGAGAAATCAGAACCTAGATGAGACATTTTTGTGGATAATACCACTGTACAAGTGTGCTCACAGCAAACTGTAAAACATATATTCTCACCCTTACCTTAAATAAGAGTTCGCTAGTATTCTTTGCACTGTAGAATAGTTTTATCGTTCCTATCTCATATCCACTTCTTTTATTTGCCCACTCCCGGTGAAGATCTGCTGAGTACCGCAGGATGGAAAGCAGGGGGTTAATTCCGACTCCTCCTGCGATCAACACAAGGTTTCTGGGGGCATCTGTGGGCTGAGGGTCAAAGAAGAACTCTCCACCCACTCTCACAGCCACTTCAGAGTCAAGTGTACACTACGGCAGGAAAAACAAAAAGGATCCTTTAGTCTTTTGCAGCACAGGTCTTAAACCAAATGTTCTAACTTTAATAAAACCAACTGCCTACCTCCTATATTTGTACCCATATTTAGGATTATTTTTGCAGCTTGCTCTCAATTTTCTCGGGGTACCGTGAATTGATTCCACTGGTCCATTATGTAAGCCACTTGCACCTTTGTGATCCTTACTGCACACCCACTCCCATTCTGAGGAAAGGTGACTTGCTTCAGTAATGTTGCTATTTGTTGACTTTCAGGTGATGAAATGAGTTGACAAAAGTGGTAATGAACTCCAGCAGGGGGCAGCTATGGACTATGGGTGTCCCTTATCTGAGAGGTATTTCTTACTCTCATCAAGGCTGAGAGAAACAGGACGGGGCAAGTGTCCTGACCCTGGCTGCCATGGCTCATCAGGGCTGAGATGGATGAGTACTGGGATCCCTCGCAACACGCAGCGGAGCGCAGCCAGACCAGCTCCACAGGCTCAGACCAGCACAGTGGAACTGTTCCACCCTGTTGTCTTCTCCCTGGAGCAGCCAGAACAGGCACCTAGAGGCTTCACACCAGGAGCGAGTCCCACATAGCCCCACTCAGGTAAAGCATCTATTTAGTGAGGTCACTACACCAGAAATACCACCAAAATTGAATGCACTGGTTCTTGATGCAGCAATACTGCACCTAATGGGTTATTAAGGAAATTTGTGGCAACATTTTTTGGTTGTTACAATGACTTGGGAAACCCAAATGGTGTTTAGAAGGCAGGGGGCAGACATGCTAGATATCCCACAGAATTAGTGGTATCCAAGAGATGGCTCCTACTAAGCTGATGGTTAAGTCTGTAGAAATTTTGTGAGCTAGTATCTACTGGTAGTTTGAAATGAGAAACTGTGAGAGTATTTGCCACACAGAGATCAGCAAATGATACAAACGAGGGCTTTCTTCATTCAGGGAGCTGGCTTGCCACCATACCATTATCTGCAATAGAGACGACTATCCTGATGATGACTTTTAAATGGCCCATGGGTTGTTCCTGTAGGTAAAGACTGGATTGTAATGACCTCAGATAGGCCCTAACTTTTCATAAATACAGAGACTTTTTTTGGGCACACATCTAATTTGCTCTGAATTTTCTAGAATGTAACCCTGTGTAGATTTATTGTGCTTGACTGTGTTTAAAACTTTATCAAGCATATTCACCGCTCTGGAAAACCATACCCAGCTGGTGGCACATGTGTCCTCCTGGCACACACAACGTATCTGCATTATTTGCATCTGGAGAACATGTATTCATGATGATTCTATGTTTAGGAACAACTATCTGACAGCTTCCGTCTATCATCTAGTTTAGATATACCCCAGATTTATATACTGCAATATTCTTTGATTAGGGATTACTTTCCATTACTTTCCTTTATATTATACTTATAAGAATTATGTTTTTTAGAAAGTATTTATTTAGTCTATCAACTATGAATTTCATTTCAGGATAGTTCTAGAAAGAGAGTACTGGATCTGAAGGGAAGAGAACTTGTTCTGGAGAAAAACACACTGACTTAGATATCAAAAGACTGAACTTTAATCATAAAAGTGATAAAAAAATATGTGAGATCCAGCAAGTCCTTCTAACTTCTCTTAGCCTCTGCTGCCTGAAACTGGCCTGCCCACCCCACTTCATGGGTTGCTACAGGCATTAAATGACAGCGGGAAAAACTCCCCCTGGTACCAGGGTTTAGGTTAAGAAGGCATTTTAGTCAAAAAAGAAAATGTGCTAGGCATGCTGCTTCCTTCTTTCCTGTCACTAAAAGACAATCCAACAATAAAGAAATTGATAGTAAGAGCAGGATAGGTTTGCGCCATTAATTATTCCTGGCATAAACCAACTAAATGAATTCCCTCCTAAAAAATAATAACATATCACACACTTCTTGAGGACCAAACCCTTGGCATTCACACACTGCAGGTGAGTAATAAGTACTTTCAGACAGTAATTTAATTTGAGGCTCTAAACTTCAAGACAAGTCAAATTTAGCAAAAAACCTAGGAAAAAATGAAAACTGTCTGAATTCACAAAATAGGTACTTTTGGTAAGAACTATTAAAAGAACACAAATCCTTTTTTGTGAGGGAAAAATGCCTGAACTTAACTGTTTTAAATATGTAGGAGATTGTTACATGAATGATGCTAAGTGGGTTTTCATTTTGACAAAAGAAATTAGCAGCAAGAGAGCATGTGGTTAGGAGTAACCACCTAGGAATGGCTGCACTGGCTACCCAAGTGCTTTAAAATGCTCCTTCACATCTTGAAAATAGAATCTCAGACACAAGAGGCTCTGCCTAGGGATGACAATGGATGACACCTACCTATATCCTTCCTCTACCCTTCTCTCGCTTGCTTATATAAATCTGTCTCTAGGAATCTTAGCACAAAAAAGACTGAAATTAAGAATTTTCTCCAATGGCCATCTTTGGCATATACTTAGTAATGACAACAAAGAAAGCCCTACACTTATTGTTTTTAGAAAGCAGAGTATGTTCAACCCCAAAGTTGGCAAGAAAATGTGCCCCAGGGAAGGATGATGCCCCAGAAAGCTGTACTCTCTTAGTGACAAAATAATCCTCAGTAGATCTATCTTCTAATTTGCTAGCATCTGGAAAGAATCAAAAGCTTCTTCTGTCTTCTGTTGATCAGTAAGAAGTGCCAGGGTAGCATGAACACAAAACTCAAAGGACACACACTACATAGGATGTGTAAGTAAATAAAAGGACATTACCTACAATTACACAGCAATGTATCTAACTTGAGTACAGATTTTCTACTTGTGAAATAACCTTTCCACAGCAACTGCAGCCAAGCACACAATGGCTGTCTAGAAACCCTCACCCTGCCAGGAGTTTGAGCCAAAGCAATGAAATAAAGGAGATGTTTATGGCACTTTACCCCATGTCCCAACAGAGCATTCTGATGCCACCCAGACACTTACGTGCCTCCATTGTCCACAATAACAGCTTAATAAGACAAATCCTCAGGAGGAAAATAGCCACCTGAAAATTGTTCCAAGAAAAATCTGACTTCATAAAAGCTGTTTGTAACTCCCACTGGGCAGAGTAGAGCAGGCACCACAATTAGGATGTGCATTCAGGCAATGCCACTTCCAGATTTTCTACAGCCTCTCAGAGTAAGTTCCTTCATTGAAATGCCAATGAGGCATGAAACCAAGCAGGGAGCCGTGGACCAGGACCAGGTCAAGTCACGTGGGAGGCTAAGGACAACTGCAGAGCGGAGTGTGTGTACACACACGCTCACTTCTGGCACTAGGAACTAGGGTACCTGCACTCACTTCAAATTTGACAAGGGGCACGGGGTATCTTGTTGGTCCCACCCCAGTGGCATAATTTAGAGACAGAGAGCAGCCTACAGGCAGTTATGGGTTGAAAATCTACAGAGAATTTTAAAAGGAATGAGGCAGCTGAGGCCATACCAAAGGAGACTGAGAGGCAGGAGGCTAAAATGTGACAGGATGCATTTACAATGCAAATGCCAAGGCAAGCAAGCACCTGGGGTTTTCCTGAACAGACACAGTTGACAGAAGAATATACAAGAATATATTTTTGTGTCCCTATAAATTAAAAAAATTATCTTACTATGATTTTTTTTCTTTTGGCATACGTCTACGAATTTTAACACATATATATAGACCTATTGTAACTACCATCAAAATCAAGATATGGAATAGATCCACTGGGCAGTGTGGCATGTACCTGTAATGCCAGCACTATGGAAAGTGCAGGCAGATGGACTACAAGTTCAAGCCCAGCCCGAGAACTTAGTGAGACTCTGTTTCAAATTTAAAAGGGGGAACGGGGAGCTGAGGATGTGGCCCAGAGCAAAGTACTGTGAAACAAAAAGCCCCTGCAACTCCGTTGTCCTTTTATGCTCAGCCTTCCCTACTTCAATCCTTGTCAAGCCCTGATCTGTTTCCCATCATTACTTTTGTCTTCCAGAATGTGGCATAAATGCGACTGTATGGTATGCAACCTTTTGGGACCACTTTTTTTTCACTAAACATGATGCCTCTGAGATTCACCGAAATTGCTGTGTGCATCAATAGTTCATCCCTCTTTATTGCAAAAGCCTTGAAATTATCAGTTTGTTTACCCATTCTCCTGCTGAGGAACATCTGAGTTGTTTCTAGTTTTTGATATTTACAAATAGAACTACTATAAACATTCATGTTAAATTTTTATATGAACATCACTTTCATTTCTCTAGGATAAACTCAGGAATGATACTGTTGGGTCACATGGTAAGTTTATCTTTAACTTTATATGAAACTGTCAAATGTTTTCCAGAACGGCTAGGTTATACTATCTTGCACTCCTACTAGCAATATAAGCAAATTATGAGAGTTTCAGCTGCTCTACATCCTCACCAGCACCTCATACTGTTGGTATTTTCAACTTTATTCTTTTTTTTTTTAACTGTAGTTATTCTAATGTAACAAAATATATCCCAGTACATATTATTGTAACCTGTATCTCCCTAGTGATCAATGATGGTATCTTTTCATTATTTATTTGCCAACCTTATACCCTTTTTTCGTGAAGTAGCTATCTGATACTTCGCTGTGTGTATGTATGTGTGTGTGTTGGCGGTACTGGGAATTGAATCCAAGGGTGCTCTACTACTGAGATACTCCCCAGTCTTTTTTATTCCATTTTTATTTTGAGACATGGTCTCATTAAGTTGCCTAGGCTGGCCTCAAACTTCCAATCTTCCTCCCTCAACCTCCCAAGTAGCTGGAATTACAAGTATGCACCACTGTCCCTGGGCTTTGTATATTCTTTTATTAAGAAGAATCTTTTGGTTGACTTTTGAGATTTATTTTTGTGTTCTGGATGTAAATCCTTTCTTGAGTATCTGACTTACATATACTTTCTTCTGGTCTATAGGTTATTTTTTAATTCTATTAACAGTCTGACAAAGCTCACACTTGTAATCTCAGCACTCGGGAAACTGAGGCAGGAAGATCACCACGAGTTCAAGTCCAGCCTGCGCTACATAGCGAGAGCCTGTCTCAAAAGACAAACAAAAAACTCCAAAAAAACAGTCATACAGGGAAAGTTTTAATTTTGACCAAGTCCTATATATATTTTTTTCTTTTATAGATCTTGGTTATGGTGTCACGTCTAATACCTTTTTGCCTATCCCTATCCTCAAGTTCCACCTATCTCCTGTCTTCTTTTAGAACTCTCATAGTTTCATGCATTGTATTTAGACTAGAAAACATTTCAGTTAATTCTGAATATAAAGTATGAGGTTTAGGTTAAAGTTCCTTTCTTTTTTAATATATAGGCGTACAATTGCTTTAGCACTATTTGTTGAAAATGCTATCCTTTTTCCAATTTCTTTAGCACCTTTGCCAAAAATAAAATGGTCATATCTGTGTCCGTCTACTTCTAATGCTACATTTGGATGAATTATCTGTGTCTATTTCTTTCACCAATATCCCACTATTATGATAACTGTTGGTCTACTTTAATCTCAAATTTGAATAATGTGATTCTTCATTTTTTATTTTTCAAAATTGTTTTAGCTATTCTAGTTCCTTTTCCCTTCCATATACGCTTTAAAATCCCTTGTCTATAGCTATAAAAAAATCTGAAGATTTTGATTAGTTATTATAAATCAATTTAAAGATTGACTTCTTTACTATCTTGAGTCTCCCAATTCATGAACACAGTTAACTACTTGCTCATATCTTCTTTAATTTTTTTCATGAATTGACATAAACTGATTTTTTTTAGAGACCAACTACTTAGAAGATAGTCCTATATTGAGGAATGGGCCAAATAGTATCCTAAGCTAGCTGGTTTTCACAACACGAAAGCTCTCTTAGCCATTTCAAGGGCATATTAGCTCCTATCAATATGGCCTGTCTGTTTGATTCTTTGTGTATCCTCTCTTCTAACTGAACCAAACTGCATCCATGTGGGACTTCTACAACCACTAAATTCAACCATCCACACTTTCTTTTGCAAACAAAGTATTTGCAAACAATGTGAATGGTCCCACAGCATTCACACACACATTTTTGGGTGCTCTATGAGATCTACTACCGTTGTCTTCTTGTCCTCTCTCCTCTACTTATTCCCATGTGGCTCCTATATATAACCGCGATTCTCTACAACCTTTAAAAAGATCCTAGAGTATGTTTCCAAGTTCTGCCGAAAATAAAGTTTTTGTTTTTATTTTCTGTCTTCCTTTCTTGACTCTCAATGATTTCCAGGAAGAAGGACACAGTGCCGAATTTCTGAAGCCATATTTGTGCTAGTACACTTCTTTATGGTGAAGGAGATAACACCTTTTTGGTACAGGTAGAAGACACACTAATAATAAAGACCATGGCAGTGAGAAGAAGACCATGGTCAAAAACTAAGATGATAACTAACCCATATGAGTATATTTTTGTTATCAGAGTTCTAGCTGGTAATGACAGTCAGCTTACGTAGGATTTGTGCTGAGCCCTGTAATTAAAGCATGAGTTATTAGCACTAGTTAAATTTGGATTCCCTCTCAGAGTCCCACATAAAGAGATCAACAGGATTAGAGAATACCATGGATTTATATGTGCTCATCTCTCAGCACCAGCAGTATTATGTAATCAGATATGTTTTCTCCAAATACTGGACAGAATAATAATTTCCTTTACTTAGGACAATTATATGAAAATAATTAAACTTACCTTTTATATAATAAACAAAGCCAAATTTCAAAAACTTAGATAAAATGCAAAATGTTTTAATTCTTACAAAGTGTTCTACTGAATCTTATTTGATAAGACAAAATATTTCCAAATCCTAGTCCTTTTGAGCCAGACTTTATGTATCAAAAAGATTCTGCTTCTTCACCCTTTCTGGGAAGCTCTGTGTGAACATGAACCTTTTATATTCAATACCAAGTTTTTTAGGTGGATCAAGTGAGCCAAACAGAAGTCCTGTGGGAGGCAGAGACGCTAAATCTCTAGGTTTAAAAAGGTAGCTGCTCACCTCATTGTGAACCCAGAGAGCAGGAGGGTGGTTTGTGTGTTTCACTGCCAATTCTATCATTCTTTCTTGTTCTAGCAGCCTGGGGCTGGAACACATTGAAAACCCACCAACCACAGAGACTCCTGGGATGAAGAAATCAATCCTAAAAGGAGAGACAAATAAATGATTACTGTTAAAAGTAATTTTAAAATAGGCAACAAGGTAAGCAAAACTGACAAGACTTTAGAGGAACAAAAAAGAAAAATTACTAAAATTAAAAACAGAAAAGAGGTCATTATCACCAACGTTACAAAAAACAAAGAATATAAAGGAATTTTATGAACTGTGTACCAAAAATTAGTTAACGTAGATAAAATGCATATATTCCTAAAAAGGTATAAACTACCAACTGAGACTCAAGAAGAAATAAAAGATGAACAGACTCCTAAGAAATTAAAGGACTGAGTTAGTAATTTTAAAACTCCCACAAAGAAAAGTGCAGGTCCAGACAGCATCACTGATGAAAACATTTGAGGAATACTTATACAAACTTCCAAAAACAGAAGGAAACACTTCCTAACTCATTTTATAAGACCAGCATTACCTTGATATCAAAACCAGGCAAAGATACTGCAAGGAAACTATGGACCAATTTCCCTTCTGAATAAAAACACAAAAATCCCAGGGATACAAGGTTAGTTTAACATTTGAAAATCAATTGTATAGTATCAGTAGAATACAAAATAAAACCCACATGAATATCTTACTAGATGCAGAAAAGGCATTGGATAAAATACTACATTCTTTCATAATGAAAACATTCAAGAAAACAAATAAATGAGAACTTCTTCAACACAATAAGGGGCATCTATGAAAGACCCACAGCTGACATCAAACTTAATGACAGAGGGTTGAACAGTTCCTCTCCAGAACAAGACAAGGATGTCTACTCCTACCACTTCTACTCAACAGTGTACTAGGGTCTAGCCAGAGAAAGCAAGGAAGTCAAATAAAGCATACTCTGATTAGTACAGGGAAGGCATGAGCTCGTACACAGAAAACCCAAAGGAATTCACTGAAAAGACATCAATAAGTAAATTCAAACAGGATTGTAGAACACAACTTTAGTATACAAAACTCAACAATATTTCTTCGCTGCACTAGCAGTGAAAAATCCAAATGTGAAATTTAGAAAAACTTCCATTTATAATACCATGAAAAGATAAAACTTTAAAAAACAGTGTAAAACTTGTATACTGACATTTAAAAACATGGTGGGAAAAAAAAAACTAAAGGTCCAAATAAATGGAAAGATATCCCATTTTCATGAGTTGGAAGAATTAATGTTTTTAAGATGGCAATATTGTTCAAATTTATCTGACTCAATACAATACCTACCAAAATGTTAGCTGGTTTCTTTGTACAAATTGACAACTTGATCAAAAATTTCATACAGGAAACTGAAGGAAGCCAGAATCTTGTAAAAGAATAAATTTATTTAGCAAATGGTACTAGGACAACTGAATATCCACATGCAAAATAGTGAAGTTGGACCCATACCTTTCATCATATATAAAAATTAAGTAAAAATGAACATGAGTTCAAGTAAGGGCCAAAACAATAAACTCCTAGAAGAAAACACTGGTAACAGTTTTTTAGATATGACATTAAATCACAATGATCAAAAAAAGAAAAGGAGAGAGATTGGACTTCATCAAAATGAAAAACTCTGTGCTACAAATGGTATCATCAAGAAAGTTACAAAGACAAGCAGGGTCAGTGGCACATGCCTGTAATTGTAGCTCCTGGGGAAGCTGAAGCAGAAAGATCTTAAGTTTGAGCCCACTCTGGGCAACTTAACAAGACCCTTTCTCATGATTTAAAAAAAAAAGGCTGGAGATGTAGCTCTGTGCAAAGGACCTGGGTTCAACCCCTACTAGCCAGAACAGAAAAAAAAGATAATTTTCTCCATTAAGGGACTAGAATTCATAGATTATACAAAAAAATTCCAACTCAGGAGTAAAACAACCCAAATTTTAAAATGAGCAAAGGGTTTTAATTAACATTTCCTCAAAGAAAATACATAAGTAGCTAAGAGCATATAAAAAGATATTCAATAGCATTAGTCATTAGGGAAAGGATAATCAATCAAATCCACACCCAAAAGACAAACAATAGCCAAATGTTGGCCAGACCTGGAGAAACAAACTCTTATACATTTCTGGCCAAATGATATAGCCACTTTAGGATACAAGTTGTCAGTGCATGAAAATGTTAAACAGTTATCAGGTGGCCCAAAATTCCACTCCTAGGTTTACAGCCAGAAGAAACAAAATTGTATGTCCACTCAAAACATGAACATGAATGTTCACAACAGCATGATTCATAGAAGCCCTGAAGTGGAAAAATTCTAAAATGTCCACGAGTTGATGAATGGATAGACAAAATATGGTACAGCCATACAATGGAATGAAGGACTGATACATGCTACAACACAGGTATGCCTTGAAATTAAGTGAAAGAAGCTAGAAAAAGTAGTCAAAAATAGACCACATACTATATGATTCTATTTATATATTTGCCTTAAATGGGCAAATCCAAAGAGACACACTAAAGTAGATCAACAGTTGTCTACGGGGCAGGAGGATAGGGAGAGAATGGTAATTTATGTAGATCCCTTCATGGGATGATAAAAATGTCCTAAAATTTGGATTATGATGATAGCTGCACAATTCTGAATATAATAAAATCTAGTAAATTGGGTAATTTAGGTAAATTTTACATGTAAATTATATTTTGTAAAACTGTTCTTTTAAAAGCAATGGCAGGGGGCTGGGGATTTAGCTCAGCGGCAAAAGCGCCTGCCTGGCAAGTGCAAGGTCGTGAGTTCGGTTCCCGGTACAGGAGAAAAACCAAAAAAATAAAAATTAAAAAAAAAATAAAAGCAATGGCAATTGCCAGGTGTGGTGGTGCATACCTATACTCCCAGCGTTTAAGGAGGTTGAGCCAAGAGGACTGCCATGGGTATGAGAACAGCAGAGGATACACAGTGAATTTAAGGACAGTCTGAATAACCTAATGAGACCTTATCTAATGAGACCTTATCTCAAAAAACCAAACCAAACCAAACCAAACCAATGGCAACAAAAACTCTTTCACTGGTACCTGCCAAACTTAAACAGGCTAACACGGCCTTCTGAGTTCTGAAAGGTGTGTACATTCCTTTCTTTTCTTCTAATCACATTCTTAATTCTCTAGAACTCTCCCAAGTTTCAAGCCTTTCAATTTTATACCACAGAACCTTTTTTCTTGGTGGGAATTTAAAGGCAATGCAACAAAGCACCAAGGAAAGAAAGATTTATTACAATCTGGCACCACAAAAAATTCTCAACCCCAACCTAGGAAATGTAAACATTTGTTTTAGGTATTTCTCTACCACAAAGGAGCAAAAAGTATCATCTCTCCCCAGCTGCCATCTTCCATGCAGAATTCTCTGAAAAGAACAAGATGCTCTCTACTGGTTAAATCTACCTCTAACTATATTGTTCTCTAATCTATGGCCTTGAATATTTGCTTGTTTTTATAGTCTTTAAAACCTGCTCTGGATTGGAAGCGCTCTGGGAAAGCTCCATAGCTTACTTCCGCTTTCACTGGACTCTTCCCCATGAACACTAACTTATCTTTAATTTCACAGAAGACACGAATTTATTAATACAGTTGCTTTTTGCTATCAGGAGACACACAGACTCTCTATTTCCATGTTTGAAAAATCTGAGCTGTTTTTGCTCCTTCATCTCCTGAACTACAGCACCCTCTCCTGGGCAATGCTGGTAAAGACCTCCTCAAATAAGTGAAAGGAACCCTCTTCCCTAATATAACTCTGAAAAGCGCCTTCAGAATACAAACTCTTTGATAGGGAAGAATTCAAATTATATTAAAAGCCCCATCTGAATAGATTTTTAAAAATACGAACAATATGTATTTCATAAAACATCAGCCCAAGAAAAACATCTTTAGAAACACCTTTGCAGGATTAGCCACCCTGGGAGCCGGGAGCGGAGGTGCGCACTGTCCACAGCACAGCTGAAGGGTCCCGGCATGCAGTGGTCCTCACACCCATGTCCAGGCAGCCAGGCCTGTCCACAGAGGGAGCCCCAGCTCCTGGCACGGAGCAGGCATGCAGACCATGGCCAAATGACCGTGCTGTGCTGTGCGAGTCCAAACGCTAGTCCTCTGCCGCAGCTAGTCCTCAGCTCCTCACTCATCCACCTGCGCAAACAACGGCAAGCCCTGCCTCTATGGACAGGCACCACGGTATAATGGGGCCTCGGTCACAAAGCTTTTGTTTGCAAACAATTTAGAGTTCATCAAAGGAAATTTGGTAAAACTTTGTTTTTGTTTGTGAACTCTGCACTGGGTGACACACACAACTGTGGCCACCTTTTCCACACAAACACAAAAGTGGCCATCTTTTCCAAAACTGAATAAATTAAGTTCGTGAACCCAGGTACCACTCTACGTATGGGAGGTATAACCACCATGGGTGCCTTGGTTCCCGCCTTCAATAAACTCACTTAAATGGGAGGAAAGTCAGCACGTACATAGCAGTCAAAATCTATACTAAAATCTGCTTAGAGTAGGGAGACAGACATAAGAAGTAGTAGCTATTCATACCAAAAGTAGAATTAGACTTCACAGAGCACATGTTGCTTAAACCAAGTCTTAAATGACACAGAATGCAGTGGAAGACAGGCCCTGAACAACAAGCCAATGCACGCAATGCCGTCCGCCTGTGACAGCCTGGAAGTCGGGGCTGCTGCACGCGGCTATGTAGGTCATACGCTGTTCAACACAGACAGCCCTGCTCTAGAACAGGCGTAGTTGTATTTCCCTAATCTTGCTCCCCTCATCTGCTTCACTGAGAAAATATCTTGGCCTCGCCTCCCCTCAGGCAGCACCCTCTGCTCAGTCAGCGTGAACTAAGTACGGAGCAGCGTCACCGGCATCACAGTGATGAGGCACCTTCACCCGTTTCACCTTGGCCCGCCGTGCTTCAAAGAAACAGCTTCACTGCACGGAAACTGACCAAGGAGCTAAGAACTGAACTTGTCCCCTGGTCTCACCAGTGCAGAGGAAATATCTGACCGAGTGAAATACTAACAATAACCAAATTAATGAAATTAAGAGGCACTGTGCTAACCACTTTAAATACCCCCAATATAGGAATACTACTGTTCCCTCTTTCATGGGTGAAAGCTGCAGCCCAGAGCGATGCAGAAGCTGCCCCTGCCACAGACAGAACCACAAGCACGGGAGCCAAGCAGTCTATACAACGTGAGGCCTCTCAGCCTCATGCCTGGGATGGATTCCACCCATTGCAGCGCACCCACTGCAGGAGACAGGCAGTGAGTGCCACACTAGAAGAGGGCAGCTGGACGTGCCTAAGGACTGTTGATGGCATGCTCTTCCCACCTGCAGGGAGAAGGAATTCTGACAAGGAGAAGAGCAGGACTCTCCAAAAAGCTAGCTACTAAGCAAGCAGTACGCCCACCAGTGGGAAGAGCCTGAGGTTTTGGCCTGCTCGAGGTGGTTTCCTCTCTGACTTTTCCTCTGGGTTGGACTGCTGAAGTTCCAGGAACCAGCATCCAGGTACCAGAACCAGTCCCCTGGAGAGGGGCCAGTAAGACCACAGCGCAGTGCAGCAAGGGCCCTTGTGACTCACTCCCGGCCTACGCTGAAGGAGTCTTCCTGTGGGGCTGCAGCCAGATCTCCAGCTGGTCACAGACAGCATTCTTTTATTTACTTACAGTTGGGTCTGGAACCTCATCTTGAAAGTTTCACAGGTGTCAGAGGAAGCCACCAGTCAAGGAATCAGAGATGTGGAACGGTGACCAATCTTCTGTCCCAGAGATGAGCTGAAGAACAATCCTCACCTTTACAGACAGCAGCTCTCCGCTCTGACCATCCTAACCACACAGACTGCACAGCAGGCATTTCTCAACTCTCTTCTCCAAAGTGCCAAACAGAGGTTACCACCAAGCTGCTGATACAACATCCTAGAGCACAAAGCCAAGCTAGCAACAGTACAGAACAGGTGGTCATCACCAACCTAAGCAAAAGGGCCATCCTGTAACTATAAAGTCAAACATTCCAAGGAACTCACAACCCCTAGAACTATACAATAAGCCAACAGTAAGAGTGCAATCTTTTAAAAGGGGAAGGGACAAGGCGCAATCTTTTAAACAGGGGCAAGGAGTAAGTGCTGACCCACACTAGCAGAAAAAGGGTTCTGCTAACCAGCCAATCACTGCCACTCCCTCTCTTGCTTCAAGGGTCAGGCACACACAAAAACCAGCCCTCAAGTCAGTGAAAAGACCAAATCCATTCACTGGGATGAGATACATAACAAGCGCTGGTACACTCGCAGGCACACCATGGTGACAGCAGTATAACACCCAGGCCTTTTCTGTGCAGCAGACAGGGGTCTGAGCATCGGCAGAATTCAGGGTTGAATGCAGAGACAATACTGTACACAGGGTGCAAACACTTCCACAGAAGGGAAATGAGGAGAAACAGGTCATTACAATTAAAGTTTCCGCTTTTCAATGGAGTAACTGCTAAGCCATTTTTGAAGGGTAAATATGTTGCCCACCCCCTAAAACTGCCAAAATACACTTAATATGTATCACTGAACATGTGCAAAGATTGCAGTAAATTGCTTCACAAACGCAAATTATTGCAATCAGCATCTTGTTTTCTAGTTCTAAATTCAAAGGCAAACTATTAACACAAGACTGCTAACTCTTGCTATTATCACACTTGCTATTATCACACATCCTCCTTCTAACAAAACCACATTTCCAGATGGACTGCCAAAATTAGTCAAGTGACTCCTAAGAAATACTACCAAGATTGACATGCCAGAAATTCACTTAGAAATGAATGCTTTATTTAAATAAAGGACACACACACCCAAACACACCTTTCCTTAGGAAATACAAGTTGCTTTATTTACAATTCAATTTCAATTGCAGCTCAGTGAGGCCATTCGGAGAAATAGTGGGACAGCTGGGCTGTTAGCCTGTCAGCATACTGATTAGTCCTCAGTCAAATGGGACAGACTTACAGAGTGTGTGTGTGTGTGTGTGTGTGTGTGTGTGTGTGTGTGTGGCTGGGGAATCCTGAAAAAAAATTAAGCAAAATATTTAAACTCAACCCAGACAAGGTATGAGTGATACATATAGGAATTCAGTTGAGAGGATAGTCAGCCCTACCTAACATAATGGGTTAGTCTTTTCAGACTATTTTGTCTATTCTGTATTAGATACAAAGATGATTAATTTTTTAGAAATGTATGAATCCCCAGCAACACATAAGTCAGGCAGATTAGATCACTGCAGTGCATTCTATTAGCAAGCGTTTCTGCAGAACATAATTATCAGTGCTCTTGGTTCCCAGCACTAGCTGCTTTGATTGAAATTGGAAGACTCAAAGAAATTTTCATATATGACTAAGACAAGGGGCCATGGGCTCAGGCCAAACAAGAAATGAGATTCTTCATGTCAAAAAAGGCCCACCATGAATAGAAACGACCTAGAACTCTCCTCCTAGGAACAGCTAGCCACAGCAGTTCTCTCTAGAAGCTAATATCCAGTTATCCCTTCTGTCTGATATGACCTTCTAAAATATATACCCTTGGGAAACAGAAAAGCCACTTACCACTGGCCAGCTTTAAAGGAAAAATCTTTATCAGCAACAAGCAAGCGGAGGCTCTTCACTGATGGTGACTCACTGGCAGTTCCACACACCTTAGCTACTGCCACCACCTAGAGGGAGAGGTGAACTGTGGCTCAGGTTAGTATGCACAGAGCAGGAGGGGCAAATGATGGCTTTCTGGGAACTAAGTTTTTTTGAAATCTATAAAGATGTGGTTTTTGAAATTTGCCAAACAAGATAAAGAACACTTTGATTCTACCCATTATCAGGTCAACAAATTTTAATTAAATCTTTTTGAGAAACTTGCTACACTAATCTTATTCTGCATACAAAAATTATCTCTTACAGGCATGAGTCAGCATTTATTGGAGGAGTGTTATGGTTTGTGTCTGGATGTCCCCTCCAAGCCTCATGCAGTCACAGGTGGGGCTTTTTCAGAGGTGGCTGAATCTAGAGTGTGTGACTGATTCATGGTGCAATGCTAGGATTAAGAGAAGGTGATTACTAAATCAGTCCACTGATTGGACTGGCACCGCCCTAACTGCAGTAGACTGGACAGAAAGAGGCTTGTTTTCCCCCCTTATTGCTTTGCTGCCTTCTGCCTGCTACCAACTGTTTCCCTCTGCAATGCCACCCTGCCTTGGAGCCAGCCAATTATGGACTGAAACCTCTACAGACGGTGACCTACATAAGCCTTTTCCCCTTTAACTTTGGGTAATGGGTATTTTGTCTCAGCAATGAGAAAAGTAACTAAGACAAGGTGCATCTGTCCTTTGCAACACACTGGGTTAGGCACTCTGGAAAGAGCTCAGGGGACTGGAGCAAGGGACTGGAACCAGTACGCAGTCCTGACTGCCATCAAGTCTCCATGGGTGCCAGGCAACCGAGGCCTACTGTGCGCTGCTCAGTGTGTAAGGAGCTTGCTTCAGAAATTAAAAGCAAACACTCAGAATTTTTTTTAGTAATTTTACCGAGCAACTGTGTCTTTGCTGAATCTAATAATAGAAAAATTGGGTTTATATTCATGTCTTTTACTATATCTTACAAAATATAAACAATTCCCAACCTCAAAAAAAAAAAAAAAAATCACAAAAAAAGCTCTTCCCGACTGACAGTCTAAGAGATAAACTCTAAATGGCGTATCTGATTTCAGCCTCAGTACCCCTCAAATTCAAAATGTCACTAACTTCATTTATTCCTTCTTCTGTCTTGTGCTTCTCTTCCTCCCTTAAACCTGGGACATCTTCACAAGTGGAGAACGAACGAACATGACTTTCCTTAACCTCTTACTTTTGTTCAGCTCCACTTGTCGAAGCAAATCAAATCCAGAGCAATTGACCAAAATATGATCCTGTCCTTGGAGCTATGTTCACAGCTCAACCAAAGGCTGCAGCGGAAACCTGTCAAGGTCAATGAACCTCCCCTCCCAACCCTGGCCCCTTTCTCCAAAGGTCTGCTAGATCTAATCAAACTATCAGTGAGGATTATTTCAAAAATCCATCAGAATAATTCTCATGATGGATGGTGATCTCCTTTACCTCAAAATAGCTCCTAAAATTGTCTACTTTCTCTTTCACCTGCAAAAGTTCTTGCCCCTGTCGTCCTCTGTATTACTGATTGCCAATCTTCTTTTTCTCCTGTCTCAGACAGCAAGTGGGTGATTTTTCAGGTCTGCCCCTCTAACTGCACTCTTGATCCCAGTTCCAACCCCTCCGGAACACTTCTCTATCAGCAACCACCAGTCGTTTCCTTCATGTACAATCATTCTTTCTAGTACCTTCCTGTTTCATCAGACAAATGCCACTGGTTCAGCCTAAGCAATTCAGCCACAAAATAAAAGCAGCACTAGAATAGGCATGTAAATAATATAGGTTATGTAGCTAGACCGCCTGGTATTTAATCCTGGCTCTACCACTTACAAACGGTGTGACTCTGGCCAAGTTACCTAGCCCCTCTCAGCTACAGCATGGGAAGAACACCACCTTTAAATTCACAGGATTGTTTCAAGGACTAATTGAGATAAGATACACAAAATAAAATTTTAATGCTTCTGGCCAATAGTAAATATTGTGTTAGTTACCAGTTTTCCCCCATTAATTAGAACTGTTACTGTCTGCTGTACACTGTACCTTACACTTTATTATTAATATGTACTTTGCCACAGCACTGGTGCTGCTGCACAGGACCCTGCAGAGTGGGCACAGCACAGCCCCTGGGGCACTCTGCTTGCATGGATGTCAGGGAACTCCACAGTTCATCTTATCCAGTAGATTTATACTGTGAGTGAAAACTTAGATGCATACCATCTTTAAGCTTTTTAAAAATCTTACCTTCCACCCCTTCCTCTACTGAAAGGATTAGTAACTGCTTAGCCTGCAGAATCTTCTTTTTCTTGATCTCTCCTAACCACGGGTAACTGGCTTCTGCTATTCCTGAAGAACCACACTCAATGCCTCGTCTCAGTTCCCACTCTGCCTGGCCCCTCTGAATTTGGTACTGCCCGTCCTGAAACACTTGCCTGAGATAACTCACACTGAACCCTTCACGTCTTCTCCTGCCTCTCCTAGTTCGCCTCCTCCTTCACCATTCCTTCTCCCACTTTCCTGATAAGAGCTGCCTGACCCTCACCCCCAGGCCGAAGCAAGGTCCCCGCCTGCCAAAGACTATTCATCATTACTTTTCTGCCAACCCCAGGCTCATATCTCCAATACCCACAGGTAACAGCCAATGCCTGAGGAACCATTATCTCAGATGTATACCAGGTGCTTCATTTTATGTTTTATGTGCACTAATTCATTCTGTTAGTATGAATAATCATTTTATATCTTGAGATAGTACTGTATCCTTCACCTTACAGATGAGGAAACTGAAAGGTTGGATACTTGCTCACGATTACCTAGATAAGAACAGGCTGTGGTACTGCACACCTGTAATTCTAGCACTCTAAGAGGGTGAGGCAGGAGGATGCACAAGTTTGAAACCAGCCTGGGCAACTTAGTGAGACCTCGTTTCAAAACAAAAAATGGAAAGGCCCTGGGTTCAAACCCTAGTACCACCACCATAACAACAATAAAAAAAAAAAAAAGAAAGAAAAGAAAGAAAGAAAAAGAACAAGCAAACAAATGAAGAACTTCTGAATCATCTGTTGGCACTATCCCAGCGGTAAACATCTTATCTGCAGAATTAAATCCCCCATATTCTTGCACAGTTCCTGGGCTTGAACATGGTGCTTTAAACTGAGAAACTGGGAAAGTAGAGATCAAGAATGCTGCCCTGCTTCCCCAGAACCCTGCAAAATCAGAATCTCCTCAGCAGGGTTTCAACCCGGACTCCTCCTGGAGTGAACTTGGTCAAATCCATTTTCAGCTGATGTACAAGCACACAAACTGACTCTTTCTAGTACTCTGTCCCTAACTGATACGGCTTACTTTTTCCTTCCCTTGATCATTCTCACTACCCTAGCCTAGAATTCCTTACTTTTCATGTGAATTGCTATATTGATTTCTTTCTTGAGTCTCTCAAAGCAGCCAAGATGTGAATATTCCTAATGTTCCAACCTGAGTTATTCCCTAGCTCAACAGCCTTCAAGGGGGCTGGCAATGTAGTTCAGCGGTTGGAATGCTTATCTAGCATGCTCAAGGCCCAGGGTTCAATCCCAGGTGCCACCACAAAAGAAAAAACAAAAGCACTAAAAGGCTTATGTAACTCATATTAGCTTGAGTTCCTCGTGCCCACCTCCCAAACTCAGCCTAGGTCATACACAGCCAACGCTCCCAGTTCTACCAAGTCCTATTCAAATACTCTCCCTGTCTGAAGTCTTTCCTCTTCTCTCCATCCTCTCAACTCTATCAATACAATCTTCCTGTCTTACTTATTGTATTTAGCATGTATAATTAAAGTACAAACACTCACGAACATGTCTTTCCATCACACAGATCACAGGCCTCCTGAGGTCAGAGCTGCACATAATGCATCTCTAAATTAGCTCAGGTCAAACCCAGGGCCCAACACATAAGAAGGCTCTAAGTACATACTTGCAAAATGAATGAAAACTCTCAAAGTCAGTTCAAGCTGGTTTCCAAAGCAAACAATGGAGGAAATTCAGGAGGGTTTCGCTGCCCAAGAAAAGTGAGGAGGATAAACACAGAAAATCCAGATTTGTATTTTACAATGTGGGAAAGGTCAGAAGGGCCAGGGATTTCTTCAGCAGAACTGCTATCATCCTATTTGCCACACATTTTAAGTACTATATCTTATTTCAAAGACAAGTAATGAGAATTTTATCATAAGTCTCTCCATTACTTTATTATTCCCATTTTGTATGTTTACAAAAAAGAAATGCTACTTTACAAACATACTTTATTTTCTTTCAGTTTAATAATTTGTAAAAACATAGCCAATAGCTAGATTATTTCACTGCTAACAACTTAACTGGCACCAGCTGGATTCACTAAGAAAACTAGTTATTTATAAGCTTTGAAAACATACCCAAAAGAGTCACCTGGTGGCAGGGAAATCTATATTCATAATCACCGCAGGAGGAAGAGAATTTTAGCTGAAAGGTTTGAGAATGTTTCACAATCAAATGCTAGACTACGTGAAATGAAACAATCATTTCTCAACACCCAGTCATAAAATTTAATGAACAAGAGAAAGAAAGCAACACTTTTTATTAGGCCACATTTTCATTTGGATAGTATCTATAAACAAAACTCTTCCCAGATGCATTACACCCTTTGGTATTAAAATCTGTTATAACTCATCCTAACAATTGAGACCAAACTGCTCCAACTGGAACACAAGATACCTTGCACAATTCATGACTTCTGAACACATGACTCCCTCTTACTACTCTATTCTGTCTAATTAACACATTCACCATAGGGCTGTAATTTGTATGGATTGTTACCGGGTAGCTTGAACCACAGGAGGTACATGCGTGACTGTCCCACGCATGACTGTACCACTTCTACCACCAGAGGTACAAGCTGCCCGATAGGGCAGTCACGCATGTACCACCGGTGGTTCAAGCTGGCAGGAATGTGTTAATACAAAGTGGATTAAAAACTGCTATCTTTCAAAGGCCCCATATTTGTTTTATTCTAAAGCT